TCAATTGGAAATGAACCAATCATTAGCAAAAAATTGAATTAAATAAGCTGCAGTCAGACTAAAGTCTAGACTTCATTTAAAAGTTTACTACTAAAAAGGATTAGTAGTTTAATTCATAGCGAAGAAGTAATATAGTTCTTTCGATCTTCTGTATCCTGGCTGGATCACTACTAGCATAGTATAAGTTATCCCCTTAATAATACACTTGATAGTGTTCGGCAATTTAAATCGAACGTCAGAGGAGATAAATTCCCATAACTCGTAATTTTTAGCCTACTGTATACGTTGCTTTACGCTTTCTCAGATCATCCAAGATGAGAAAACCCTTCAGCATTCTCCTATTGGTAGCCTATCTTGCCATACTTGCGGTAAGTAGCAATTATTAAACAATGTCATTTGTTTGCTTAAGAATATTTAATTGCGTCCATTGCAATTATTAAGGAATTTTCAGAAGCACCTTGCACTTATTAGGCTTTAAGGTACAAGCAAACGCTTTCAGTATTAAGTGGCAAAGTTTGCTTTCACCTTAACACGTTCATAAATCAACGGCTATAATAATTCGGTATCTTCCCATTAAATCTATTGAATTATCCACTTGCTATCTATAGTATATTAGATTAATAACAGGCAAGTTTTTGCTAATTATTTTAATATAAGCTCGTAGAATCTTAGCATTTTTCCACGATATACATTACTCTAGCAGAACACCTCGTTATAAAATAATAAAAAACTCTCAGAATGAATATTTTTTATCGTTATTTCTGGAAATAAGCTTACCTGTTATGACTTTCTTATACAATAATTTTCTTGATTGTCACAAATCAGTGCTACAACTAGATTCATAGTTATAAAATAATTTCTCTGATAATATAAACTCAGGCGGACAGTCGTAAATTAAGCCTAGAATCAACTTTATGAGAGCCCTCAGTTTTATAAAGAAATACTGGCACACAAATAAGTTTATTGTCGTTACCGATAATCTTAATTTAGGTTTCGCAAAAGTAACAAGTTTTTAAACAAATTTTTCTGACATTATTTTACTTTATTAATGTCTCTTTTGTAAAATAATGTACCTGGTTATAAGTTTCATGTAATCCCATTAATAATATTAATATTAAATAATTATGATTTCTACTAAGTTTGGCATCAAAGGCCGGCATCTGGATTTTTGGAAGTGTATACATATTATGTGTTAGGGCGTACTCCTACTTAATTACATTTTAATTTTCATATTATAAGATTTATACTTACTATGCATAAGTATATTACAGTCATCTACCACAATGCGATTTACTATGGCATGATAACTTAATAAATTGTTTCCCAAAGTTAGTAGATGAAAATAGTTTATTTCTTAATTTTATTGTTAAATAATACGTTTATTATAATATGGAATAACAGTAGCAAAGTTAGACAACGTAATCCATGCACAGCTAGAGCTCAAACTAAACTTCCTTCACATGAAGCCAGCCTTTTATAATCTTTCTTATAACATATTCTATTCTCACTTAAGTCCGTTGCTATCGCCTCTAAATTATCCACTAATAGTATTGAACTATCCTAATACCCAAATGTAGTATCTTTAACACCATTAGTATCCTACAAACTGGTGCCACCATTTTACTATTTATTATCGGGATCTTGCTATTAAGTTACTTAAGAACCTGTTCCCTGCAGCGTCTTAGAGCAAAACGAAGATACAATTATTTTTTAGCTGTCAGCTTAACTTAACCAAGATTATATACTATACAGTGAGTGTAATGATACACTTGAGGTACTCGAAAATTAAAGCAAGGTGAAATTCTACTTTCTGATCGTTTATACATTTAAAATTTAAAATATTTATTACCCTTGTTCTCGTTAATGTATGGCCCAAAGTCGAGACCTAAACACATAGAGAAAGGCTGAAAGTACAGGCAAGATAACTATTTTCCTAGAACAATCGTAAATATCTTCTTTTCAGCTACTATGAGTCCGTTACTACCGCAACTACCGCAAGTAGCCGACACTAGAACATTTATAAGAGAAATTCTATGCTCAACTCCTTCATAATAATTGCTTCAATGCATCTTTATAGAAATCAATTCAGAAGCAAGTTGAAAAGAGATTATTGTAGTGAAAACTCAATTTAAACTACAACAAAACATTATCACGAACGAGGTTTTGCGAGATTTCGGGATAGTATAATATAAAACAATATATCACACATAATTGGAATAGACTTGTCTAAACACTGTAAGGTGCTGTGTTTAAGCATGATTTCTAACTGATGTTTGATTTTTTATTATGTTTTCTCAACACTTTATTTTCTAACGATTTAAATTTACCTTTGCTCGATGATAAAGGTACGCTATGGATTTTTACTTTAATTTAGATGTAAATACTATAATGCTGATTATATTACTTAATAGGGGTATAATTTGAGCGACAATTTTGGCTTCATGAATGTTGAGAATTTATCCAATTGTACTTGGAAGTATTTTGAATGAGTTACTAGTAACATTGATCAGATTCATTATGATAAAACATTTTTTGGTGTCTATTTTATATGCGATATAGATTCATTTATTTTATAAATTAAATAACATAGTTCGTTAGTTACCATTAATGTTAACGCGGTAGAATAGCAAATTAATTTATAGGAGAAATAATGGATTTAATGCATTAGTTCTATTCTTGGTATTACGAGTTAATTCACAACTATAGTTGCACGATAAATGATCTCATCCGAAACGTTAGTGATATAAGCCATTACATGTATAGTAAAAACTGATGCTTTAGCTGCTAATGTATTTATTCTGATTATATCTAGATGTCTTTCTATCAAGCAAATTCAGGTTAGATGTATTATAAATTCATTCATAGATGATAATACTTAATATCCTAGTACTGCAGATGATAGCATGTAATATTCTAGAATTTATTTCCCAACTCGACTTCTAAATTTTAATTTCGTTAAGCAGCAGTACCATCATTAAAACTGGTGCCATCAGGGATTGTTTATGCTAGGAAAGGTCAAAGATTAGAATTTGCATGCTTCTCCGAATCTTCCCAAAATATCCCAAAATGGGCTACTAAAAGCGACACTAAATTCCCATCAGGTGTTTTCCAAGATCAACAGGGTAGACTCATATTTCCAGCTAATACTGAGTGCCATTCCGGTATTTATACTTGCCAACTTTCAAATCAAGATGGGAGTGTTTCTAAAAATGTAATTTTGGTTGTTGATCTATCGAAGCGTAAGTAGTAGACTATATCGCATTAATACAATATAATATAGCTTTATCTATTTTTAATTCTAATCAATACATAAGCATAATCTCTGCTAAAAAATACATCATACCGTATTACCGGTGAGTTTTAAAGACATTAGAATTTTTAAATTTTCTATTTACAAGCTTGATTTATAATTATTAACAGATGTTGATGTTGATGTTCAGCCAAAGTCAGCTAAGGTTTTACGAGGGGGTACAGCTATTTTATTTAGTAACATTAATGGCACACAGAGTAAAGAATGTGAATGGACTAGAATGGGAGCCGGTTTACCTTATCATCACCAGACATACGGTCCATTCTTAATTTTACGAAATGTTCAAAAATCAGGCGAATATTATACTAGCACTGTTTCTAATAATGATGGGATTGGCCAAGATTCTGTTCAGCTCCATGTTGATGGTGAGAAAATTGAATTAACGCTAACGTCAGTAGTCATTCAATGTTAATATAATATTGACTGCTATTAGTAGAATGTGGTGAAATTAGCTTATTCTCTCTATAAATCCACTATTATCAAATAATATAAATGTTACACACATACGTGTAAAATATTTTTCTAACGCAAAATCCATAATTTTCAGATTATCCTTCGGCTAAAATATCACCATCAAACAGAATTGCATTAAGGCTTTTAAAAAGTGAAACAAAAGATGTATCCTGTAATGGTGCCGGGAAACCAGCTCCATCGGTGACCTGGATTAAAGTTGGAGGTAGTATTGATCAATCATTGGTGTCAGGTGTTTCATTAAAATTTAGAAATCCTAAACAAGAAATGGCTGGAATTTATGAATGTCATGTTTCGAATGCATATGGGAATGTATCGGCACGGCTGCAAGTAGATATAGCAGGTTAAATTAAACATTTTTTTTACAGTAATTGTTACTTTGGAAAATACGAGAGAAGATTTTATGTTCTTAAGAGATAATCAGGCAGATATTACTTTCGATATTTCAGATCGTTACTAAAACTATATGTGATATGTGTCTTATATATAAATTGCAGTAACATCGATACTCCCAGGATTTGATAATAGCAATCCTAATAATGCAGCCTATGGAGCATTTATTGGTTCAGCATTAAGGCCATCTGACTATCATGAAATCAACATCAAAATTAAGCCTACTAAAGTTCATGATGGTCTGATTATATTTCAAAGTAACGGATTTGCAGAAAATACACCCTCGACAATGCATTATATTTCACTAGGTGTTAAAGATCGGCACATTACATTTTACTATTCAAGTGGACCACAAAGTAGCCCTGCTGGAATATCCGGTAAGGTTGTTTATCCACTCATTATTCAAGAAGGCAAGTGGTACCACATAGTAGCAAAGTATGAACGGGGATGGAGTTCGGTAGTAGTTAACGGTGGAACACCGGCATTTACTTTTGGTAGTTTTTTGGGTAAAAGTACAACAATAGATCTATCTAGCTGGATATTCTTAGCAGGATTATCCGATTTAAGCCTGAATCCACTATTTGAAGTTCCATATGGATTTTCCGGTTGTATCTCTCAATTATCATTTAATAACAAACAGATAGACTTAAGTAAGCCAGTCGAAAGTCGTCAAATGGACAAATGCGGCGCTGCCTGTGAAGGAGACCAGGTGTGTAGAAATGGAGGTACATGTCAAAAATTTGCACAAGACGAAAGTTATTTCACATGTCGCTGTAGAGATAAATATTATGGAAATTACTGCGAGAAAATGTATTCTGCGACAACAAACCCATGTAGCCGATCACCTTGTCTGAATAATGGACGATGTATAGCAAACGGTAAACAACATTATTGCTTATGTCCTATGCCATACTATGGATTATCGGACTGTGGGGAAGGTAATAAATAGTACTGTAAATACAATTTAACTGTAGGGTTAAGGCATCATTCTTGCATTTTTACTTAAAGATAGCTTTAAGGTTAACTTGACTAACTTTTAAATTCCTCATGAAGTTAGCGATGTAAGAATAGTAAAAAGTTATCCGATAAATAAAGAATATGCAAGAAATATTTAAGAATATGATGAAATTTATCACTATCGCTTTACGTTTATCTCGACAGTGAAACAACTAAATGCCAACGATATTCCATATTTCCAAAAGTATAGTTACCTGCTCTATTCAGTAAATATTATTAATGAGTAAGTTTCATATTCTTGCGCTGTATTATTTAGCATTGCAACTAATAATAAAAGCATATCAACGATTTAATCGACATCTTATTACAATTTAACTTTTGTTAGTCTAAGAATTTCAGGCGAAAATACATGTCACCATAAGAATTAATTATTGTTTTTTGTGCAGATATCAGCAAATTCAGTTCGAATTTAATGCCTTAAACTTAGAAGGTGCCCTATATTGGATTGGTCAGGTAAGATTGAGGGGTATAATCATTTAATATTCTATTACTTATCACTGTAAATATATTTAATTCTAAATTCACTATTGTAAATGCTTGGGCTTATAAAGAGACTACAGTAATCACTGTTCGTCCGACGGTAGATTATGTAGCCAATTATTGATATCCTATTGAGGTGCTACTCTCAAATAAATTAAAAGGTCGAAAGAAATCGTTAAGAGATATATAAAATTAAAAGATTGACACTGGATATACGTGATTATAGATTAAGTGGAATCTTAAGATTGTACTGAGCGCACATCTACGCTAAATAGTTAATACAGTAAATATTTTAGCTTTTGGTTAGGAATATCCCATTGAGATATTTCGACACTATAAAGAAGTAGTTTGTGTAGTAAAATGAGCAATGTCAGTTATCTAATTTTGATCATTTCTGATTCTGAGACACTTTTTTCACATATCCTCAATTTAATATCTAAAAATTTGTCTTTTAATCAATCCAGAAATCAGAGGGAAAATATCTCTATATAGCCTTGATAAAAAGTAGGCTCGAGCTTAGGTTAATACAGAACAGAACAATGTCTATTTCAACCTCATTAATTATACTAATAAATTTTTAATTACTTATTATTCATATGCATTCGGATTTCATCTAAAAGTACTATATTCTATAACATCAATAGATTGCATGTTAATGGACGCGAAAATTACTTAATTTCATCTCAAAATATCGTTACTGGGAAGTACTATCAAGTCAATGTGACTAGGTATAAGATCTTAAGATCTTTAAAAATTACAATATCATAATATACTATCTATAATATCTATAGAATTTTTCGGAAGAGTAAACTTGGTTAAAAATCGAATCTAAGCAATTTTGATGTATATCTCTTATCTTACAGGAGTTACTCTAGCATTAAAATGTTTGTCGATAACTTCGAAGCTCAGTTATCCAAATCATCCAATCTTGGCCCATCAAGACTGGTAGTAAATTCCAATTATGCTTACATAGGTATGTAACTCGACAAATGCTGATACTATTAAGCCTAAATAGAATTTAAATGCAGAAATATTTGTCAGACGGTTGGCTATAATCCTACAATAAATATCCTGGCAGCTTTATAGTAATATTGATAACAATAGTGGAGTAGATCAGTTGCTACATTTAGTTAAATGTACCTATAAAATCGCGGGAAATGCACAAAACTTACATGTTAGCATTCGTAGTCTACATGTTTAACAGTCATAATATTCTGATTGAAACCAGTAATTGCCAATAACATGTTGTGATGGAGGGTTCAATATCTCAGAGGATTGAGATTTAGTCGCCATTTACAATTATTGCACCAAAGGGTTTATAAAAGTTACGCTTTATTGTAGGTTAGTAAAGTGAAGTACAGTGAGGTAGTTACGGTAGATCAGCGTGCAAGCTGTCGTGAGTAACGAGTAGAAGTATTAAACTGCGAGAGGCTGTTACGAAATAATACAGTTGTTGTAGACATAGTATCGATAAGATTTATCATATTGAATAAGCCTGTTTATTCAGTATATTTCTGCAGTTGTTCTGTAATGATGACGATTAAGTCCTAGATAGCATATCTAAGAAAATAAGTTGTTATCTTATTATGAATAAGATAAAATTGTCGTTAACATTCATGGTATGTCCGTTATTGCACATTACTGGTAATTGTCCCTTATATATAACGGCTCCTAACGCATAATAAAGTTAGTTCGGTACTTAAGCTCTATTGGACTCGTGATTGTTCATTACTCAAGCCCTACTGGACTATTAAATTATTGTTACGATAAACTAGAAAATGTAACAGAGACTAACTAGAAGACTAACTGAGAAGCTAACGAACTCTGAGGTAGAAATAGCCGGTATTTATAATTTTAAAGATAGAGAACATGCAGAGAATAGGATTGTGGAATTAGATACAACATATACCATAACAGGTTACAAAATAGCAGATGATTGTAGAAAACAGCGAGTACCGTAATAACTAAATACAGTAGTCTATATATGAATGTAGAGTAAGCGGACTGTAGATCTGTCTAAATATAAGAGCAATACAACATGTATATATTTAAGAGTAGAATATAGTTACAGTATATTCTAAATACACTACACATGTAAAGCAAAATTTCAGCGATAATCACAAAATAATGTTATTTAATTCAAACCACGACTGAAAATTAAGTAAAAAGCACTACAAAAATTTAATTAAATTTTTATCAGAGATGAATAATTTGTCTAGCATCTAGCATGTACTTGTTTTTCTAGTTCGTGATAGTTACTAACTAATCTTTCACTTCAAGGTACTAACATCTTTTCGTACTAATATCTGGTAATTTCATGATTACATTTCAAATGGTAACATTAGCAGGAGTTAATTAAACTGCAGTGTCACAATGATTAAGACTGGAGTTTTCCCAGTAAGGATAATGTATATATATCTTGCCATAAAATCTTTGTTTTAAATGGAATCGAAATGCAATCATGATCAAAATATCGGTTATAACCCTGCACGATTTAAAGCAAACGTAAAATAATACATGAAAATAAATTAGCTACATAATTTTACAATGAATAAAGCTTTGGATACGACTCGATAAATACTACTATTACAAAGTTCGCGTAATGTAAGAGTGATATTCTACTTGAAATTTGATACTAAGGTGGTGCACCAGATATTTCAGCAAAAACAGAAAATAGACTTTCATCAGGATTTTCTGGTCAGATAAGAAATATCCAGCTACAAGGAATCATCTTTACGCCAGTAGATGCAATTTATGGCGTCAACATTGGCAAACGATGATTCAATTGATCGAGTCATTATCGTCTGCTATGATAAAAATTGTCTCGTTTGATTAACATCAAATTAATATGTTAGCAGTCTTTGCTATAGCATCAATTTCAACATAAAATCAGGAATCTACGATACTATAAGCACAATACTTCGGATAAGAAATTTTAGGTTTAACACTTGTATGAAAATACACTGTTGTTATTGCTGACAATTAATATCATTAATAGAGTAAACTGTAAATTTGCTATCTAATCTTGAATTCGTCAACACGCCGCATGAGTATATGTAATTGTTTACCTGATATTTCTATGAAACTTCGCGATTTATTGGTGTCGTTGTAGAGTCATCAAAATTCATAGTTTTCACGCCTGATTGTCCCTAAAAAAGCTTTATAACTGAATTACGGTCAATTTATATAATTTACATAAGTTATTTACCATCAATAATTTTTGTTGATCTGATTGACTGCATAACCTGATTAACCAGTTTTGGATAGATTGATCATTTAATGTGTGATTGCATTTTAAATACAGCTATACTCAGAAATATATAAGAGCTCTAAAAATTATAACAGTTATAGCCTTATTTCTACATATTCATGACGGTGAGGCAAGAAATGGAAATAAAGAAAACGTGATTGTAAATATGCCATGCTTTAGTTATTTCTTAATCATTGCTATTTCTTCAAAAGTTACGAAAAGTTACTAGCACTCTTATCAGATAAAATTAATGATAGTACATTATAACTATGAAATAATCTGTGGGTATTCTATTACTCAGAATATATTAACAGATTTGCATATTATTATTAAGGAAACACGGAGAGTTTTGTTAGAATGATGTGAATATTATTAATTTTATGAATGATGGAGTTATCTGAAGTAGTTTTCGAATTTTCATTAGATTCTGTCATGCTCTAATATACCACCAATCTTGTTGCCGCTCGTAACACTCAGCTACATTAAGATATCAAAGTGAGCTTAATTGAAATCTTATTAGAGTTTTAGTTTTAACAGCTCTACTTGACCTGCAACACCTAATCCTGTTCTATACCAGTATTTTATACGCTGTAAGAAATTTACTCATGTGATGTTACCGTACATAAATGATTCTAATTTTAGCTAGCATAAAGCTAGATTAAGAATTATCATAATAACAATTTATTTACTTTCATTAGTTATGCCTTGTATCACAAGATGTAAGCTCACGTTAGAATTTTAGCAATATTTTTATCATAGATTGCATGAGAATAAATTAATTAAAATTACTATGCCTCGAAGTTGATGATTTGGAAACTTAAAAATTATCGACTAAGTAAATGAAAAAGGATCTATAAAACAGCTAAGATTGCATTTGGTGGTGTTTATACTTATATCATTATTTATATTCATGCCGCAGAATATTCTCGTGAGATAAGTTTTTGGAATAGAAAAATTAATTAATACTTTTTTAAAGACACAAGTACGGAAACATTTTAGAGGATATGGTTATTTTATCTAGAATCATGCTGAGACAGACTGATACATAAGGTCAAATAGTCTATTTTCTAAGCTACCTGAAAACGAAGTTCAAAATAAATAATCATAAGCACCAGAAATTTACATTATTTACACAGTAAGTGTAATGATTACCTGAAGTAATAATCTCGTGACCTCTACGTATTTTTAAATCAATTTTAGGTGAAACAATATTAGCACTTTATACTTAAGTAATTTCAATGTGAACGAGTCTCTGCTAATAAAACTTCGCCAATTACAATTTGGCATCACTGCAAGGATAAAATTAATAAATCTTTGAGTCACACTAGCCTGTTGAAAATTTATACCGACAATAACTGGTTCTGTTGACTATAGAAGTTTTAATTACTTTTAAATTAAAAGCGATTCAATATGTACTCGCATATCAAATCCTCCTAAGATTGCTAATTATGAAAATTTACAATGAAAGGAGGATGCTGCTATGCGGACTTTTTGATGCGTTCCGGATTAGGTTTATGATTTTTGAAGATAAAATAAGGCAATCTAAGGCAATATTGGTTACTTTACTTAGATTATATATCTTATAAAATTAGACCTTCTTAGATTGGACAGAATAGTTGGTAGCTTTCAATACACTAATCAAGTCTAAAATATGGCATACTGCTAGTATTTCCATATCACAGATTGTTACAATTATATATTTGACGTAATGTAGCAATGTTAGGATTGTACGGTTCTGTTGCTACCGAGAGGCTTTAGCTATGCTGTAGTCAGCGTAGCCAGTGATGCTGTTTCGTGTTGGATCAAGTGGCTTAACTAATCGGTACGCAATCCGTAGAGCAGTATGTTATAAGTGACTTGATAACAGAAATTAATCATTTAATTACTTACTCAATTTGTTAATCAGTTAATAACTGAGTTAACTGCTTAGAAAATTCATTAGAGCTCGTTTGGGAACTTGAGAAATAAAACTACCTTATTTTATAACACGTTAATGAAGTACTGGTATTTAATGGAGAACTTATAAGAATACCGCATCTGTTGAGCTAATTTACTGACACAGCCAAGTAATTTATTACTTTAAAATCGATTATAGCTTTAATTTAATGAAATGCATGCAATTATAAATCTTAAATCATAAAATATGGTCAGATAGGAGTATGAACGATACCTGTATTCTTCTGAAATCTTTAATCCAATAAATATACAATTCTCCTCATCTAATTGATATCACTTATACTAAATATGCACCGCTTCTGGGATTGGTATTACTAAACTTTCATAATAAGATATCAATTCAAAATTAATATCTAAATAGAATCTGCAAAGTTACTGTTTCAAAAGCTTTAGTCGAGTATATGATAAGGCTAGTTATGAAAATTGTCACTATAAATTGCGTCTTTTCCTTTGCTTATCTATAGTTTATCCTGTCATTAAAATACTATCTCCATTGAAAAGCAGCATTTCTGTAGTATTAATGGATTTATATTCAGACTTATGATGAAGTCTTCAGTCAAATAACTGCAATAAATATGGAATCTACAGCATCACAAATTTGCTATTTCAATTCCCGTGAGGATATCTCTTTCAAGATTTTTACTACGAAATTCTACCGATTACCTTTCTGTAATACTACTTATAGCTTTTACTGCTATAATGAGCTAAGAATCATAATCATGAGGGTTATCTGAAAATGATAGAAATATGTAGAAATTACAGAAATAGCGTCAACATACACATATACCATAATAAATATTTTCATTATCTTCAAGTTTATTAACGCCAACAATGCTGTGATACTGGGTT